TGTTGCTGAACAACATGGCCGGGAGCGTACTGTACAGTGCACTGGATTTGGTAGACGGATACTACCAAATCCTGATGCGAGCGAGTGACATCCCGCTCACCGCGGTAAGCACTCCAAGCGGCATGCTTTAAGAGTGGCTCGTCATGCCGCAGGGCTTGTCTAACGCCCCGGCGACGTTCAATCGCCTGGCGACGCAATTGTTCCGCCCTTTGCGTACCTTCGTACAGACGTACTTCGACGACATTTTTGTCCATAGCCGTGCCGAGGGAGGCAAGACGGCCATGGAGGTGCATCTAGGACACCTCCGTCGAGTGTTGGACGTGATGCGAGCGAACAAGCTCTACGCCAACATCGACAAGTGCGTTTTCGCGTCACCAGAGATCAAAGTTCTCGGTTGCTTTGTAAGCAACGTGGGCGTTCGGGCTGACCCAGAGGTCAAGGCCAAAGCAGCATGGCCGACGCCCCGATCCCAGAAGGATCTTCGAAACTACCTTCACAAGTACAGCGCTGGGTACGCGGGCTTCGCTAAGCCCTTGTCGAGCCTCCTTCAGAAGGACGTCGACTGGCGCTGGGAGCAAGAGCACCAGGATGCTTTTGACAGCATCAAGGCCAGTCTCCAAGAGGCCCCTGTCCTGGCTCTGCCGGACGAGACGAAGCCGTTTAGCGTCGTCTGCGATGCCTCCGATTACGCCATCGGGTGTGCATTGCTGCAGGACATCACGGCTGGACAGGAACGAGTCATCTCGTTCCAGTCCCGGCAGCTCAAAGCCGCCGAGCGGAACTACCCTGTCCATGACAAGGAGCTCCTGGCAATGCAATATGCCCTTGTGAAGTTCCGTGTTCACCTTCTGGGCTCTAGGCCCTTTGTGATCTACACAGACCACGCGTCCTTGAGGACGGCGACTAACTCGCCTCACCTCTCCCAAAGGATGGCGAGGTGGCTGCCCTTCTTCGCGGAATACAACTTCCGCGTCGAATACAAGCCGGGCAAGCTCAACGTGCTTGCGGACGCCCTCTCTCGGCGTCCCGACTATGAGTTGGCCCACATCACGCGGGTGACAACGGATCTATACGATCGGATACGCATGGCGTATCGGGACGATGAGGCTGTCGCGCCTATCGTCAAGTTCCTTAAGGCTGGAACGAGCGCGAAGTCCGACTGGCTCTCGTCGCGACAGCGCTCACGACTCCACCGATATGAGTTGAAGGAGGGCCTCCTCTATTATCGGGTGGAGCCCACTGATCCTCCACGGGTGGTCGTACCCAACGACGAGGATCTGAAGTTCGACATCCTCGCGGAGACGCATGACGCGCCCTCCAGCGGCCACTTAGGCCGCGAGAAGACCTTCCTGTCGGTCTCTCAGTCCTTCTGGTGGACCCACATGTACAAGTGGGTCGCCCGGTACGTCAAGACATGTGAAACATGTCAGCGGGTCAAACCCGCAGGGCACTCTTCGGCTCCACTACAGAGCCTACCCGTACCGGCTGATTGTTGGAAGTCGATGAGTCTTGACTTCATCTTTGGGCTTCCCGCCGACGGACACGACAACACCGGAATTTTGGTGTTCGTGTGTCGGCTGAGCAAGATGGTACATCTTGCTCCAGTTCCCGTCACTATAACGGGCGAACAAACCGCAAGGTTGTTCGTCGATGGCGTGTTCCGCTATCACGGTCTCCCGGAGACGATTGTCTCGGACCGAGACCCGCGGTTCACTGCCGCGTTTTGGAAAACGCTGTTATCTTTACTGGGAACTCGTCTGCAGATGTCCACTGCGGACCATCCGCAGACCGACGGCCAAACAGAGCGCGTCAATCGAGTGCTCGAGGACACTCTGCGCAGTGTGTGCGCGGCAGCACCACGTACGTGGTCGACGCAGCTCCCAGTTGTTGAGTTTGTGCTCAACAACGCGGTGCACGCGTCCACGGGGTTCACACCGCTCTACTTGAACGGCTTCCGCCACCCCAGAGTGCCTCTCACTCTTCGAGGAAACACTGACTCCTCTATTCTAAGTGGGGGAGAGGCTCGGAAAGCCCTTTCCTCCCAGGTCTCGGATGTGAGGCCAGTTTCGCTGCGGAAACAGGTGGAATCCTTTATGGATACCAAGCTGAACATTGTCAGCAGGGTCCGCGATGCCATGGCAGCGGCCCAAGATAAACAAAAGGAGTACTCGGACAAACAAGGAAGAGGAAACTTTAGTATATTTGAGGCTGGTGACTTAGTGTTGCTAGACACGAGGAACCTACCTCTAGACACTGTTAGCTCTGTCGGCAGCAACAAACTGAAGCACCGCTTCATCGGACCTTTTGCAGTCCTGGTCAGACATGGTGCGTCGTACACCATCGACCTTCCAAAGTCAATGACGACGCACCCGACGTTCTATGTCGGACGTCTTAAGCGGTACTTTGACCCGCAGGGGGTTGCTGACTCACAGTCCCCCCCTGACCCAGCTCCTCGAAGCGAGGGCCGGTCACAGTCGTCGACGAGGGCGTCGGAGCAGGCACCCAAGCCTCGGTCGGGACGGCAAGGCTGCGGTCAAGACCGTACGCCGGAGGGGCTCCATACGAACGGACCCCGGCGCCATACGCCGAGTACGCTGAGTACGCCGGGTACGCACCATACGCGTACGTCTGGGAGTGTGCCGCAGGCGGCTCCGGACGTGGCAACAAAGCTTCGATCCGTCGGATCATTCGAAAGGCCTCGTCCAGGTCGGACGAAGAGGCCCGGCGATCCACCCGCAGGTGCAGGCTCGCGACCTCTCGCTCCACCAGGTCCAGGCGACCCGCAAGACGAGCGAACTCGCCCTGATTCCCGGCCTGGGCGGCAGCATTACCGCCAGTCCCAAGGCCAAGTGCAATCTCAAGCACGAGGACACGTTGACGGAGGCGGTCAACCTCAGGGTCCCGTGTCCGACCCGCAGTCGGAGCACTCGGACGAGAGTGGCTCTCGGGAGGCGCCGAGTACTCGTACTCGTACGAGGGCACCTCCGCCCCTGCTTGACCGGAATGGAAAAGTCCACTTCCACGTGGAGCGGATCCTCCAGGAGCAACGGTGTCGCGGCAAGCGACAGCTCCTCGTGAAGTGGAGGGGTTATACCCACTCCGAGAACTCATGGGAGCCGATTGAACGGCTCCTGATTGACTGCCCGAAGGCTGTCGCAATCTGGAAACAGAAGCGGCGGCAGCTTCATAAGTAGTCCGGGGCTTCTTGCCCGAACGGGGTACGGTCGATGAATACATACCGTACCCGCGCTCATCGTGAGCGCTAGAAGCCGCGCGCTTCAGGATGTCCCTTGGCAGCATACGCTTGCTGATCAAGTGGGCAAACCTCACACGAAGATCACGCTGGTCCAGGATGTGGGACAGCTGCTGATCTTCATGGAGTTACCATAACTCCGTGGGCGAGTACTTGAGAGTCTCCACCCACGTCCAGAACATGTCCTCACAAGAACTCCACGTGGGGCAGTTCTCGGGCATAACCCAGGGGTATCCCCAAACAGGATAGAGACCACCCCGGGTCTCGGGCTTCTTACGACAAGTCGTGAAGTCCTTAAGGGGAATGCGGTGTGGCGCGAGAAGCACACACCGAGCAGCCTCCAAGTTGTCGACGAACAACTGTTCTTTCTGAACAAGGGCTCGTTCATAGATGCCCCTAGAAGTGTGGCCGCCCACAAGGCCACGAGGAGCGACGAGAACCTCCAAGAAGAGGTCAGCCCCAGAGGTCTCCTCGGGAGGCCAATACCCTCTTGAGTTGATGGCAGCTCCCTGGCTGACGGGTGCTGCCACCGGACCCCCACGCACACGCTGGGCAGCTTGGAAATCCTCCTGCTGCTGGTCGAGGTCATTCGAGACCTCCCGGGGCTCAACAATAGCACCCTCCTCTTCCTCTTCTTCCTCCTTCTCCTCCTCTTCATCCGAGGAGCCGAAGAGACTTTGATAGGAGCGTCGAGTCTCCTTCTCCTCGCGGAGTGGAGACATAGAGGCGGTACGCTTCTTTAAGGGCTTGGCGCCTTCGGCTTTAGAGGCCTTAGCGCGCGCAAGACCCTCGGCAAGCGAGAGACGTTTGCGAGGATTCTCTTCCTCATGGCCACCGGCTTTGGGAGTGCTCTTAGCCTTAACGGCCGGACTCTCAGAGCGCACAGAAGTCCTGGGACTGTGATCACCGTGATCACTAGCGGGCGACTGCACGCTGCCATCTTTGTGCTCACTTGGCACTGGGATGTGCCCTCCCACAGAGTCCGCAGGAGCATCATGAGTGCTCTCGGACTCGGCATCGTCTTCACTGCCCGAGTTGAACTCACGTTCTACGAACCGAGGGTTCGGACGATTGTCTGAAGACGAGGGCGACGGACTGCGGCGCCTGCTTGCGCGCTTGTCCGCAGCCGCGTCACCCGAGGATCCGATCGCCTCGGAGGCCACCTGAGTAGCCTCCTTAAGTGCAGAGCCTTTGCCGTGAGGCTTAGTGCTCTTGGCCTGCGCCTTACCGGCTGCAGCCTTGGAGCGTGTCTTAGCACCGCTCTTAGCAGTGCCACGAGGCATGTTATCGGTCGAAGTGGAGACCTAGACGAAGAGCGCACAGGTTGCTGCTCGAAGCTCTAACTGTGAAGTGAGCCTCCGCCGCGCTCGCGCGGCCAAGTTGATGGTTTTCGACTTTGAGAATGAGAGTTTGTGGTGAACACCTCTTCATTCTGATTGGTCGGTAAACCGAACCTAAGTGGGGGAGGATGTAACGGGGTACGTAGCCCTAAGTGTACCCTGGTTACATGAAGTGTGACACTTCACACTTCAGGAGTATGACACGTCATACTCCGGGATATTTGGTACAAGGTACCAAGGTCGTTCAAAGCCAACCATTGGTCAAACGACATTGCATTTCTATAGGTAACTTTATAGTTTGTATTAAACCCAAACTTAACCTACCTTTAAATATACTCAGTTTACAATCTACCTTATTTAGGTCACTTCGCTCTCTTTAATTAAAGAGGGGACCTGTGAACTGCCGTTCACTGAGAGTTTGTATACTCTCGGAAGATAACTTCCTCTAGCGCAAGGTGCTGTGTGACCCCGTCACAGAATCAGCCGGTTGCGAGACAATGGCACAAATGATATCAGCCAGATAACCCGAAGCGAAGATAGCACCGACCGGTATGCTCTTGATTATACGAGCTCTTCGGCTCCGTGAACACGTACGTATAGAAGGCCTCCACAACCTTCTCGAAGAAGAAGAATTCGGCCATCGTGTACGAAATATGGCGCGACCACAGGGGTATCAGCGAACCGAACGGAAATCGGCTCTCTGGGCTCACCTTCATGGTAGCCATAGCGGGTGAAAGCTTCGAAGAGAAGGTGCCAGCGGGTGAGGTCTGCACCTTCACCTTGATCATCTCCATAGGGCATAGCAGGATGTCGGCGAAAACCTCAGCTGAGGCAGAGCCTGCTAGATATATGGTACCGCGGTACCTGTAGGCGCTGTTCGTTGTGCACTTGCTCGGCAGAAGGTAGAAGTGAAAGTGTGAAATATATTAAAGAAGTATCTAGTTGGATTCTACATGCACACTACACAATAACCTGAAAAGACACGTGTCTACACTCGATCTGATTTTTTCCAATAGTGAAACCAAGTCAAAATGTCGTACCTTCAACATTGTCGACTCGACACTTGCGTAAAGGTCATTGGGGGTCTGGCTTCCGGTCACCTGCTCGTTGGATCATACATCAATGTCCAATACTCCTCCCTAGAGCCTCGGGGTTTCTGAATCACTCGATGTCGACGAGTCCGATCGTCTCCCGTAGCTCCTTCATCCGTGGCGTCGGCAGCGCCTTCATCAGCAGGTCAGCAAGCATTTCCGCGCTAGCACATGCTCTGGCACCACGACGCCCACGATAGCCGCTTGGTTCTCCATCAGCATGGCCACAGGTAACTTGGTGGCGATATCCAGCTCACCCCATAGCTCCTTCAGCCCGAGTAGCTCTTGGGCACCCACCGTCACAGCGACGCACTAGACCTCGGTCGTCGATAGTGCCACGGAACTCTGCTTCTTGCACTGCCATGACACCGTCACTCCGCTCACTTGAATGATTGCCGCGCTCACTGACTTGCAGTCGCTCTTGTCGGCCGCAACTCGGCGTCCGTAAACAAGCGCAATCGTAGTGGCAGCCTTTTAGCATTGTCGTCACCAGAATATCCATCTTGTGCGATCGGGTGCCACTCAGGTATCTGGCGATGCGCTTAGCCAGCTTCCAATCCGCCATCGTTGGTGCATGAGTCCGTCGCGTTGCACTGTACAGCGAACATAATGTCCGGACGTGTGCATCTCGCAATCCACAGCAAACTCCCCACCAGTGACTTGAAATTTGTCACCGTCGGCCCTGCTGACGCGCCTTTGCCGCGTGTGGAACTAGTTCTGCCAAATCTGACTCTGCCGCGTCTTCTCCTTCGATCTGAGATTGCACCGAATTCGCTTTGTCCAATCCAAACTTGGTGAGCATCTCGCCGATTGCAGCCTCTTGGTCAAATCTGTAACCACTGAGCTCGTCTTACTGCACGCACATTCCAAGAAAATTGCAGGCAACACCGCGATCATTGAGCTCCAGTACGGACATGTCAGCGAAGAACTGGGAAACTCTGTTTTCTCGTCCGTGCCAGTAACCAGCAGGTCATCCACGTACGTTCCGACAACCGTCATTCCGCCGCTGTCAACCTTGAAGTACCGTCACGCGTCCGTAATGCACTGAATGAACCCAAGCTTGATCTGTCCGCGATGAAGGTGCTCATGCCAAAAGCGTCCTGCTTGTTTCAAACCGTAAAGGCTCTGACCAAAACGTAGACCAACTTCATCCACGCTCTCAGCACCGAGCGTCGCTCTTCCTCCGTGATTACGAGTCCGTCGGGGACGAACAGCAAAACCTCGATACCCGCCTCCGTTTTCGCCTTTACATACGCGTTTGTAAAGTCGCCGTGTCTGGCAGGCACCTTCCATATGATCGCAATGACGAAGATGAACTTGACACCAGTCATGGTAATCACAGCCACAAACACGAGAAAGAAGTCAACGCCAAACTTTTGCTCGTTGCCACAGGCAACTAGTCGAGCCTTGTGCCGCTCGATCAAACCCATGCCTGTTCGTTTCTTCTTGTACACCCACTTGGTATGCAAGCGAGCGCTGCCAGGCTCGAACTTGACCAGCTTTCAAATGTTTTTCGCCTGTAGAGCTTCAAGTTCTTTCTTTTCAGCTGCCGCCCAAAGCGCGCTCTAGGCGCGCTTCCGCGCCTGTCTGTAGTTCTTCGGTTCCGGGACATCAGCGTGGAAATTGACATCCTCAACTTCGGATACAGTCAAAGCCACATGCTCAGTGTTCAGCCTCGACTCGTCAAACCCCACGTCTCCATCAGCTTCAGCACGGCGGCGCGACTTGCGGCGTGAGCGACGAGATCTTCGTGGTGTGGAACGTGGTGCCGGCGGTGTCGTCGTCGTGGGAGCTTGAGCAGTCGGTGTCTTCACATCGGATTTCTCATCCAACACGCGGATGTTCCGCACATGCCTCGTGATGATCACCTTGTTCTCCAAAGGCAGGTACCCCTTGTACCCCTTGGTCGATTCGTCCATGCCGACGACGACGCCTTTACACGCCCTCTTCTTCATGGCGCGCTTTCCAGGGTCACGAAACACGGACCACTTTGATCCAAACATGACAATATCGCGAAGGTTTGGTGCTTCGCCAGTCAGCACTTCGAGCGGCGACTTCCGATCCTCGTTAGCGCGTGACGAGCTCCGGCTCAGCACGTAGGTCGCGTACTCAGCCGCGTCACCCCAGAAGCTCAGCGGCAATCCTGCACCGAACACCATGCCCCGAGCCATGTTGAGGACCGTGCGATGCATCCTGCCGCTTGCAGCTTGATTCCCGACTTCTGACACCTGACGAGCCACTCCGTTTTCTTTGCAGAAGAGATCCACGTTTCGGTACTCTCCTCTATCGTCCGTGCGGAGAACATGCACACGAATGCCAAACCGTTTTTCGAACTCGACAAAAAGAGCATCCCTTCGCTATCAGCTGTCCGTATGAGATCAGGTTCTGCGCGAGTTTTAGTGCGTAGTAGACCTCACTGAGCTCCAGGTCAGCCGCGACTCCATCGACAATAGCTCGCAAAATCACCGATTCTTTCTTGGCTACGTCCACGTTCGACCATCCGGTAACATGCAGGTGTCCTCACCAGAGCACTGCGCTACATTAACCAGTAGCGCAGGATCACTGACAAGATATCGACTGACACCGCTGTCCAGAATCCAGCTCGTAGCGTCCACGGACTTGAAGTCGTTACCGGCGGCAAGTGCGAACTTTACTGGGTGGTCCTGGCTGCTTCCAGCGGAACGATCGGGCAGCTCTTCTTCAGGTGTCCAACCTTCTTGCACTTGTGGCATCGCCGCGTTTCCTCTTGGGATTCAGCCACTGCGCTCACGACTTCCTTACCAAAATGCTGTGGCGCTCGATCTTCATCGGCCATCATCTGCGCCCAAACGGCCAGCTCATTCGCTTGTTGGAGAGGATCCGGCCGCGTGATGTTACACTTGGCCATCAAGGCGTGCCTCAAGTCTGGGTCCGCATACTTGACGATGTTCTCCAGCGCTAGCGCTGTTGACGCGTTCGTTGCCATCATGAGAGCGGTCAAGTACAAGAAGTGCTCATTCCACGATCGCGACGGGTCTTTCTTCGCGCCGAAGAGCTTCATTCCTTGTTGCGTCGAGAGCGCCCACTTGAACGACAAGTGCATGTACTCCATCACAAACCAGAGCGCCAGCTGCGTGGCCCACCAGCGCATGATGTGCTGCTGGAAGAAGAGCTCAGCTTTACCACGTAGATGCTGGCCGAACTTGTTCACCTTGTAACGTTCAGGCCAGGTGTAGCCACACGCCTGCTCCGCCACCTGGCTCTGGTCGATGAACAGCAGCTCCCACTGCTCGAAGTCGCCCCCAAGTCCCTTGTAGACCTCGCTGCCGTCGATGTTTTGCATGAAGATCATCCCATCCTTGGCAGGCGGCACTCTCTCGTTGAGGTGCAGCGGTGATGGCCGATGTGCTTGGTACTGCGCAGCCAGTTGTTGCTGTGGCGCCTGTTGAGCTGCTTCTTGGGCCTGGAACGGTGTGTCTCCTGCTTGTTGCCCAGCACCAAGACCACCATACCTCCCAGGAGTCTGCACACCCATGCCGAAGTTCGACGCACCGAGCTCATGCAGCTGCATGCGCCGCATGTCCAAGCTGCCTCCGTACTGCAGTACTTGACGGTACTCGCTCTGGCACAGCCCAGCCCCCTGACAGGGTGGCGTGACGGCCGCACGCTGCTGGTGCGTCTCCAGCGACCGCTCTAAGCTGTCCACTTTGACCGTGAGCTTGATGATGAGAGCCGCGAGCGCTCCAGCGTCCGGCGTGACCTTCTCTTCGTGATGCTCTTCGCCCCTTTCGTGGGCGGCGGGGGAGGTGGGGACTGCCTCCGTAGCAGCGTCTGCGTCTGAGCTGCTGACCATTGGGCTCAAAACCTGTTGGTTGTACATTTGCTCGGCAGAAGGTAGAAGTGAATGTGAGAAATATATTCAAAGTTTTTTTTAGCTGGATTCTACATGCATACTACACAATAACCTGAAAAGACACGCGCCTACACTCGATCTGATTGGTCCCAATAGTGAAACCAAGTAAAGATGTCGTACCTTTAACATTGTCGACTCGACACTTGCGTAAAGGTCCTTAGGGGCTCGGCTTCCGGTCGCCTGCCCGTTGGCTGGCTCATACATCAATGTCCATCAGACGTTCTCCTCACCGGTCATCGTCGAGTGTATGTCCTCGAGCACGTCGTAGAAGCCGAAATTGCACATGCCCTCAGGGCCTCCGAAATATACATTGACCATAACATTATACTTAGTAAATTATCTATTTCGAAAATTTCTACCTGTCTATGTGATAATTGATTTATTACAATAAACAAGATACTGTATCATAATTTATTGCAGATCCTTTTATATATGGTCAAGTCACTCTTGCAACCAGTCGTTCGAGAACATCAGAACAATTCCGCCTACATCAAATACGGTGGAGCACTTTTTTAGCGTGGCCAGGGTGACACTGGGACAGCAGCGCCAAGGTCTACTACCATCGACGCTGGAAATGATTTGCTCCTGCGTGAGAATCGCAGCTACTGGGACGCGAGTACGGTTGACGGCTCAATTAGTGTGTGGTAATTTAGTACTATTGGTATTTGGTCACCATAACTCCAATTTTTATTTTGTTGAGGATGAAAAATGACATAACTTGTTTGAAGCGGGCGCAGGAGCTAAAAATGTATGTTGTCAGACTTTGGCTACTAAATAAAAATGCCATAATCGGAGGCCCTGCATGAGTAACCGAAGCGGTCGAAGCCCAACCCTTGTACAGTGCACCCATACCCTCCTCTGAAGCGATGGTCTTCATGCCATACAGTAGGCTCTTGTATTTTGTCGGGTTGACCTGCATATTGCACTTTACTACGTCGAGCGGGGATATGGCTGTGTGTGTGATGCCGCATGATAAGATGCCACCGATCATGCACTTACCGTAGAAGGCATTGTCGTGAGTGATAGGTGAACATCCCATGGAGATTTCTGGGAAGAAAGCGCTCATTGTGAAAACAATACGAGCAGAAATCTGAATATCCTGAGTGCGGCGTCGACGGACAAATGGTAAATGGCATGGAAACGTGTGCAGCTCGCTGCAGTGTCCACTGAAGCTTTATCCAGCAAATAATTCGCTACACGTCACAGACTTGCCTTTTGCTCTTTGTGCAGCAACTTGAAGGCAACATGGCAAAGATTGCGCCAGTATTGCAAAATATGTGCTACTTGTTATTGCTACTTAAGCTGTTTAAAACTAGTGTTTTCATCTCAGCAGACTAACACACTACTGTACAGTGGAGACTTAGATCAATCACGTGATGGGTAAAGCTGGTATATTCTGGCTGACGTGATCGAAATGGCAAATATGATTATGATGCACATGCTTTAGTGTGGTAATGATTCCACTGGTCGAAGAAGTCGGAGAAATGACTTTATGCATGTGATATGCCTACATATTGAAATTTGTAAGAGCAGATCCATATTTCCTGAGTCCTCTCCGACCCGATATGTCGGAGCCGCTCCAACGAGGTTCAACCTAACCCTTAGCCTTTCGATTGACCAAATCATTTTGTCAAGACCGTACGATTGGCTGTCTAATAAATCAAAATGGATGATTGGTGATTAATACCAATACTAAATTTAAGGAGGGTCGGAGAATTGATGAAATTCATCCATATTATTACTAATCAACTGTGAGGGAGATGGAGTCCGGGACAATTGTGAGAGTGCCGGCAAGGTTGGACTGGTGTGTTGGCACTGCTAATCTAGCGTCACAGGCTGCAGGTTTATTAGACGCACGATGTGGACGAGGCTATCGACAGATAACAAGAACAGAGATTTTGATTCCGCTTTATTGACTTCAAACAGCCGCAACCGTTTGCAGTTTCCACCTCGATCAGCTTTGTCTGTGTCACAGTGAAATACTAGAGCAAACACTGGTCAGTTTTAAAGCCTGTCATCACTACTGCTGCTTTAGAGCCTGACCGAAAGAGTTCAAAGGTAAGTCCTCGATTCACAGAGGGTAAGGTGTCACGAAACGTACTTAAATGGGAAATCTAAACAAATATCATCTAGTATCTAATATTTTTTAAATTTGTCTCCGAGTTAATTTATAAGTATTATATTAGCTTAAAAAACAGAGTTACTTTCGATATTTGAATTTGAAAATAACACTACAACATGTACTTTCAAAAGTATCATATAATATTTGATTATTCATGAGATTCACGTTTAGCTCGCGCGCGTTAATTTGGGCCGAGGGCCGATTCAGCTAACTCGCGCGAGCTAACTTGAGTCGAGGATTTAGTCACGTTGACGCTAATGTAAGTATCGGTGAAAGATATCAATGCCACGACTACATGTCATATCATCACCGAGGTCCGGACCGGGTCCTGATATCGGACAGATGTCACAGTCTAATCAACTAATTTATCACACAAGACCAAGGTAAAATAAGCGGTTATTTTGACCAGAGGTCTTCCGAGTGCTGGTTGGTCAAAATTGACGGAAACTTCTAAAAGCACGCCAAACGCCATGGAAGAGGAAGCCCGAATGCGTGTTACCTTAAAGGAGTCCGTTCAGAGAACCTACGAAAAAGCTATCTCCGTTAGACCCAAGAACACTCAGAGGGCCTACAGCAAGCGCCAGCAGGATTTTCGAGACTGGTGCTTGGCAAAGGGGATAGCTTTAGTGACCTAACGCGGTACACAGTTACTGGAGAGAAGCTGCATCTTTTCTTGGAAGAAGAAGTCATCGGGAGAGCCAAACGTCACAAGGGAATCAACAAACACAGTGATAGAACCGAAATTATCGGGAGATCGACGGTAAACTGTTACGTAGCTGCTATGGCTGACTTATGGAAACAACAAGCACGGGCAAACATCAATTGCAACCCTTCACCCCGCGACGGCGCGGTGTCAGCTCTGTTGAAGCTTACCAACTACGAGGAGGAGAGGAAGAGGAAGAACTTTGAGGACCGTGGGGCGGATACGCTCTTAGATGGGTACACTACTATGGAACAAATTCAACAAATTGCATGTTTCTTCTGGTCTCCGACACGTGATTGTGGCAGATTTACAGTCGATCGTGTTGGAAAACGAGGGATACACTCCATGCAGGGCTCTTGTCATGGTCACGCGTCACGGAAAAACAAATCAAGTTGTCGGATTGAGGTTGGCGCGTGTATGCGAAGCAAAAGCGCAGACATTTGTCCACACGGACTTTTAGGATTATATTTGTTTTGGAGATGGCACGTCGAAGGAGAGAAGTTTCCTGACTTTACGTCATCTGAACGGTGGTATCCTGTAAAGCTTCTGAAGACTGGCAAAGATCCGACAAAGTCGATGTCGTACAAGGTGCATAATGAAGCATTTAAAACTGCATTAGAGCATGTAGGCATCAAAAGAAAATCCAAGACCCACTTCGGTCGTGGCTCCGGGTCTCGAATGGCTGACTTGGGTGGAGCAAGTGAATCTCAAATTCGACGGCTAGGACGTTGGAATAACCAATCAACGAAGAAGTGTCATCTCAGTTCGCTACCCCGAGAGGCTATGCGCACCTTAGCAGGCTTTGAACCAAGCCGTGGCAGTTTCTTTATTCCCAGGGCAGCTGTAGACCCGCCTGCAGCATTACAAAGCTCAGTATTTCCACAGGTGGATATGTGGCAGCAAGCTTTGACGACTGGGTCCGCCGAACAATCAATCGCTGCAGGTGGCTTTCTGGAACTATTGTTATATCTATGAAAAGTAGTGTTGCAAGACGCTGCCATTTTGCAGCAGATCACACCGACACACCCGATCTGGCAACATCAGATATTTACGTCTTCGGAGTTCTTAAATTTTAAGGACGAATTAGTGGCAAAGATCAGTACTATGGAAAACCCAGCCGAGCAGCGCTTGCAGAAAGCCATACCAGTTCTTAATACCAATATTGATGGTATACATCAGGACTTCAAGACTACAATAGGACACCTTGAATCCACGCTACCCCGGTGTCAAGAGTAGCCTCGCTGATATTACGCACCTATTAGTCCCACTTCAAAATGGAACCGCTGTTCTCCAAGTTCAGATCGTTTCACAGACTCAAACAAACGGCATTCCTCCGCAGCCCTTACAACCCCCCACAAGCGAATCGTCCGCGACCACGGATCCTAGCTCTGTAAGACGCTACAAAATGCGGGAGGTCTTGTAACGATCGACGAACTGTGAACTGTGGAATGAGTGGGCTGTAGGAATAGATGGGTTCACACCAGTGCGAGAGTTGGAAGCCAAGTATGGAACAAAGTGGTGTGATTCCGATGAACGTCGGTTTTTCAATCGTAGACGACTCATTTTCAGTCTAGTGGAAGATGTCGCTGCTTCTGTCGAAAAGAAACTTAAAATTCCATACGCAGATGCAGTTAATCTATCCATCGCGTCTGTCGAGCTTTACCGCCGATCCAAAAGCAAATCGCTTAACTGGATTGCGAAGAATACGTCTACCGTGGCTGAAAATGCGAAGGCAAGTGCAACAAAAAACCAACGAGACAGGTAGGGGGCCTCACCTCACAAACGTAGTAGCAAAGAATACCTCTTCACCAGATTTGAGTAATCGTACCCTCTTACGGACATCGTACTTTCTTAGGACAAATCTTCAGAAGTTGTAGGAGCATCAAATACACCACTTTCCGTTGTAAATGCTCGCATCTGGCCTGAATAGCACCTACTACAGCCGTGTCAGCACAATTTATACGTCTTCAAAGCAGTATCGACGACGCTAGTATCTCATCGGTGTCAGCTCTAACCGAACACTCTCCACCTTCATCATCCACCTGCAGCGGCCTTGCTATCGGCGCTCATGAACGGCTTTAGCAGAATACTTTACGATGCAGCCCGGACGCAGAAGATCATGCCGACCTTCATGATCTAGACGAAAGAAACAATAGAATCTCTGAGAGCTGGGCACTTTCCATCAGCGTATGCTCTAAGCAGCTGTGAGTACATACATGTGATCTGTGAAATGCCTTCCGATTGGCGGATTTTGGCTGGTACGGTTATCGGCACGCGGTCTCAGAGCCAGATTGTTGGCAAAGGAGATTGGGACCAAGACTCTGTCTAAGAAAGGGAAGATATATCTTTATTATTGTGCTTTGCAGATGGAATGTCCATCCGTTTCATAACCTAGATCAAACATGGTCGAAGCATAAAACCACGCGTAAAAATGAGATGGGAAGGCGCAGGCATCGATTTGTTTTATCAGCGATCGAATTACCATTTCAAAACGGCAAAAAGGGTCGATTTACAGGATATCGATGTGGATTTGGTGGCTGATCGATCCCGAACGGTCGATTTGGCGACCGTAGCACGATTTATCAGCCAGTCTAGAAAGGAGAAAACGTTATAAACACCCGATAGGATCTGATCAACACAACAACCCCAGCACAAAAAGACAGAGACGCTGTTCAGAACCTGGCCCTTTTAAATGCACACCGCTTGTGCTGCAGGCCGCATCTGCTTAGGCGATGACGCCCCAAAAGTAGTGCCAAAAGCTCGAAGTAGCTCTAAGTGAAAGTAGCTCTTATTTTAAAGCTACTTATGAAAGCTTCATTTCAACTTTTCAAACCGGAGCCCGCAGCACCAACTGCGCGACGTTGCAGCGCTCGGCTCCCTCCAAAACCTTCGCCTCAGGCATTGTAGGCCTTAGCGCCTCACAGCTACCCCCGGCTACTCTGTCCGCTGGTGATACAATCGAGTATTTCTCGCGTGCGTTTGTGCTGTTCGATTTGCGCGGGCACCGGACTACAGCCGTGCTTCGTGTTGCTCCTGACGACGACCCCGACTACCCAGACGCTGTGGACACCAGGGAGCCGTTCCCACTGGGCATGTGGTGCAGGCTGGTGTCGGACGGAGCCGGCAACAAGTACAAGCCGAGCTACGCACTTTGGCGCACGTTGAGAACCTACTCATTGCGACCAGGGACGCTCGACGCCCCCACTCGGTCCACGACGCTACGGACAGGACTACAAGATGC